ACTGTAATCTACAGCAGTACTGTACCCATTCCTCTTCTACATTTGTACTTCACTTAAAAGTACTAATACTCTGCTACTGCAGTGAAAGTACTAATAACATGTTGCTCCATGTACTTGTGGTTTTTCTTTCTCTCTCAGAGCAGAATATACTCGACCAATGGTGTGTGTTTGTTTACAGTGAGTCAGCGGTCGTCATGGTAACCGGGGGGAAAATGCAGCTCAGAATAGCGGCAGCGCTCTGTGAGAAAGTCTCCTTTCATGGAAGTGAGGGAGTTTTTCCTTCCTACCTTCCTGCAGCTCGAGGCGAGCCGTGAGGTTGAGCTCCATCTGACGCAGTTGCTCCACGTTCTCCTGCAGAACACTGATGTTCCCGTTCAGGACGGCCTGCAGCGAGAAACAAACACACCCAGAGAGTACACTATCAGCTTCATGCAGTAAAAGTAGTGCAGTATGTGACTGTATGTATGGTTATTAGATTGTTAATCAATAATCAGTTAAATTAAAATTTAGTGAAATATTGATCATTGATCAGTTACTGAAATGAAACCAGAGCAGTTTAAATTATTGATAAATGTTACTTTTACTTAGATACTCCCACTAATTAAACTTTTTAACCATCTGTAACTTTTATTCTGTAAAACAAAATATATCAGCAAATGCTGAAAGGGACCCGTGACTGAGCCGTAGAACAGCCGGAGTTCAGCTGGAGAACAGCCGTAGAGCAGCCGGAGAACAGCTGGAGAACAGCCGTAGAGCAGCCGGAGAACAGCCGGAGTTCAGCCGGAGAACAGTCAGAGTTGTGCTATGTGCCATTGCAACAGAGTTTCATTTTGATGCGAATCCAAATGACAAATAAAGTCTGTCTAAGTCTAAGAACAGTCGGAGAACAGTCGGACATTGCTGTTAGGGTTTACATTGTGATGTCATTTGAGATTTGCATAAAACACAGGCAGTAACCTGGACCAGACCGAACCAGACTGGACCACTGGGAACTCCCAAATGACCTCTGAACATCCTCAAGGACCACTAGATCCTCTCCTCAAGGATACCTGGAACATGTTCAAGGACAGTGAACACGTCTCTAATTCACTGTTAGGAACACGATCCATGTTCAGAATTATGAACCTGGTCTGAAGTACCCTCAACTGGTCCGGGCTGTGCCAGGCCGGGCTGTGCCAGGCAGTCTGAGCTGCTGATTGAAAGCAGCAAACAGAAACATTCCTTTGATTGAACGCAGCAGTTATTGTTAGAGCAGCTCTTAAAGGGACAGTACAGTCTGTAATACCACATACAGAGTACACTGAGTACTGTGCTACGTTTACAAGGACCTCTTTAAGGACAGTGAGTTGAGATTATTTGTGATCAATACTTGTTATTGATAAGAGAGGAATGACGTTGGTGACAGCCAGATTTATTGAGTCTGGATCAAGCAACCTGGTCCTGATGGTTCTCATCTGCCAGGGTACTGATCCGAGACCCTCAAGGACTGCACGCATTCGTCCAACTCATTGATCAACTTATTCATCAACAAGGTTCGACTGGAGTCCATCTGTATACTGAGGACAGTCATGAGGTTGTAATGAAGCTTTACAAGCAGGTTGTTCAGAAAGTTCCAACAAACTCAACAACAGGAAGTGACACACAGGAAGCAGCTTTCTACGCTGGTTCTTCCTGCTGACTGAGATTTACTTCAGGATAGGAAGTACAACCACTGAGCTGCTCTAAAGACACACAGACAGACAGAAACCTGTCTGTGTTTCAGAAACCTGTCTGTGTGTGTTGTATTGGAAACTATTCAAGGAACCTCTAGAACCTCTTCAAGGACTCATGGAAAAAAAAAAAAGTATAGATAACTTCATTAATATCCACAGCGAAACTGATCTTGTCACCGATTCACAGGAAAAACAACAACAAACAACACTAACACAACAACAGCAACAACCACATGGAAGGAAGTGAACAAATTAAAAAACAAAATCTGAACAAACTAATCACTGATCAAAGATCAGTTGACGCGATCAATAATAATAAAAGAGAGTCCACTCCCTGATAAATACCACACAGCAGCTGCAGATATCACAGCTGTGTGAGAGCTTTCACAGCTGAGAGCAGTTTCAGGCCTCCATTACATCACTGACATCCACTGACCTCTACAGGAAGAACAGACCGTCTAACAGGTAAAATAACTACCCAGCATGCAGCGGGGTAAAGAGCGAGGGGCTTCAGGTGGATTTAATCAGTGACGTGTTGAAGCAGCAGCTGGAAACAGTTGAAAAGCTCCTTTATAATGCTTTTATTTTGTAGGAAGGAGTTCACAGTGAACACTACAGTGCAGCTGTATGTTTCTACGACAGGAAGTGGTCACGAGTCATGAAGAAGAAACTGATCGTCTGCTGATAACAACTTGCTGACTCAGCTCCTCAACTGACAAACCAATGAGTTCAGTTTAAAACTCCTTTTTGAGAAACATCAGTGTTAGCAAGTCACAAAGCTAACAGGACCAGGCCCAGTGACTGGAAGTCAACAATATTATATATTATATATTATATATATATATACTGTATATTACGTCAGTGGGGCAACTGGAAAGCTCACCTGGTAGAGCTGGTGCAGAGGTCACATAGAGTCAGGAGACAATAACTGCATTAGAACATTTGTATGTATTTAGTGGAGTCTGAAGTTATCTCAAACAGCAATATCAGCTTTATATTAGAGTCGTCGGTGTTTGATTCATCCTCATGTTTCCGTCTGAGGACGTCACTGCTCAACTTGTCGTTTTGTTTGCAGTCCTGGTTGCTGTGGCGACCTCTGTGGTCACTGGTAGTAACTGCAACTGTGTCTTAATACTACAGCTCCCAGAGATCAGTTGGGAATGACTTCCAAGTAAGAAATACAACTAGAAACTAAAGCCAGACTTACAGGCGAGTTTATAAATCTCAATGATTGTGGAATCCAACCTGCAGTCCCTCTAACGGCCACTAGAGGCTCCAGCAGTGAGTCAGGCTCCATATTAAACTGCTGTTTACAGCCTTTTGCTCTCTTTAAATGATATTAAGGTATATTAGCTAGGTATAACTAGCTAACGATTAATGTACATAAGCTAGCTAGTTAGCCAGCAAATCCAAAAATGAGCGTTGTGGTCGGGCACTGCCAAGATGGCGACAGGAAAAAGCCGACCACACTGCGCTTCACGACGGCACCACAGAGACTGTTTATTGTACAGTGTATGGTTGAGTGTGTGCAGTGAATTCTGGGAGTTGTAGTAATGGCTGTAAACGGGAACGTGTTTTTCCAGTGTGTGTGCGTGTTTCTATTAATAACACTGATATTCGGGATTATTCACAATCCACAGTGATGGTGTGAGAGTTTCCCCTTCGTGTGAGACCGAGGAGAAAGTCTGGGAGCAGAGAGGGAGGAGTGGAGCAGAGGTGAAGGAAGGAGAGCAGGAGGAGTCAGAAGGGAGGGAGAGGGAGAGGAGGAAGGCAAACACTCACTTTTTCCAACCAACAACTCTGAAAATATGAAGCTGGAAATGTTGGAGCTCTTCATAGTTTAAACAGTCAGCGTGCTGAAAGTGCAACAGTGTTCAGACTGTAACAGTGTTCACAGTAACAGTGTTCACAGTGTAACAGTGTTCACAGTGTAACAGTGTTCACAGTAACAGGGTAACAGTAACAGTGTTCAGGGTGCAGTGGAGGGAAAGTGTCCCAGGATGGAAACAGTGAGGAATGTTCACTGCGTTATTGATCCATCTCACTGAGGGTGAGGACAGATGGAAGCTGTTAGCTCTGGTGAGGAGTTTCAGTTTCATTACTTTGGTAATGAGTTTCAGTAAAGAGAGACCTCAACTGGCTGCAATCAATAATCTATAATCATTAATCAGTGTATAAACTCTAGAGCTCTGTTCTATATGGAGCTGATCCAATCAATAATCAATAATCAATAATCATTAAACTGTATGAACTTGTTCCAGTGAGAATAAACCCTCCAGCAGTTTGCGGACGTGTGGATCAATAACTGCTGATTGGATAAACCCAACGAGGTCAATCTGTTTAACTCCCAACATGCACTGGGCCTGCTGCTTTATAAAAGTTATTGATCATTATATCGCTGCTCATCTTCACTGTTTCATCATTTATTCATTTATTCATCGTTTCACTTCGTTGTATTTATAATAATAATAATGATAACAACAACAACAACAATAATAATAATAGTGAGAGTGAGACTCACGTTCTCCTGCCGGCACTCCTCCAGCGTGGCGTTGGTGGCATTAAGGCGCTCCAGCAGGACCAGGATCTGGGCTCTGTGGCGCTCCTGTTTCTCCCTCTCCGCCTCCACCTGCTCCTCCAGAGCCACCTTGTTCCGGTCCCAGACCACCTTGGCGCCCTCCATCATCTCCGTGGTCTTCTGCAGCTCGGCCCGGCACTGCGCCGAGCTCTTCAGGTCCGGAGACGTCGCCCACACCACGATGACCACCAGTGACACGATGGACCAGAGCGCCAGCAGGACGATCGCCACGTTCTTCCCCTTCTGGGACGACTTGGAGGAGGCGGCCATGACGGGAGGATGAGGATGATGGAGGTGAAGATGATGATGTGATGAAGACGAGCTGCTCTCAGTGAGTCTCTCAGGTCGAAGTGAGCTGGAGTTCCCCGACAGGCTGGACAGGAACGCAGGGAGGAGCTCCTTCAGAGGGTGACAGGAGGACGGGAAACCTCAGCCACACCCTCTTCCTCCCCCTCAGTGTGTGTGTGTGTGTGTGTGTGTGTGTGTGTGTGAACAGAGCCACTCTGTTTGCTCTCAACCTGATGAACTCTGACGATGCTTGAGAGAAACTTTCAGAGAAATGAAACTGAGACAAGTTCAGTAAGTGCTCCTCCTCTCCCCCTCCCTCCTC